AGCCGAGGTACGGGCCGCACGTCGCGTGGGGCGTGCTCACGACGTGACGTCACGCGTCGCCGGCGTCCTGACCCCGCCCCCGCCGGATGAACTGCTGGTCTCTCAGAAACCACCCAGCCCGTACTGGGGAAAGGACTTCTGCGCTCCTCTGGTGTTTCCAATCCTGGCAACAGGCGTGCTGTTCGTTTTTATTCAGACCTATTGGGGTACATCACTTTGAGGTGTGAGTGTAAGGGTAATGCCTTTCAAGCTGTTTAGCTTGCCGCAAATTCTGGCGGTGTTTTGAGACGCGCTATAAGGTCCTGTGGGCGAGGGCCGCGTTTTTCTTTTTAGAATAGGAATGTCATTTCCTCTTGATCTTCTGGTGACTTTCAGAGTGATCTTATGCCTCCTGAGGAGTTAGTGGGTCTCCTCGGAGAGGGCGGTCTAGAGCACTTTGCTGGGCAACTGTTCCTGACTCGGTGTCTTTAATGGTTCTATGACCGAAAGCTCAAAGCCAGAAAGCATCCAGCGGTATATGTAAATTTTGCTAGGCGTAGTGGGCTGGGCACAGACCTACGGGAATATAGAAACCTGCCGCAGAGATCTAACAGTATTTCTCAAAGTGGTTCAGTGTGCCCAGAGGATCTGGGGACCTGGTAACAAGCAGATTCCTGGGTCCCGAGGCAAACCTACTGAAACTCAAGTGGGGATTTAAATACATGTTTATCGTGAGAGCCTTTGTCCTGCAGCCTAGTACCAGCATCTGGTTAGGAAGTAAGATTGTGCAGTACTGAGAGGAGGCCATAAAGATCAAGATAAGAAACCAGGAAGGGCCTGGGGGAAATTAAATCTTCAGTGTACTTGGTGTACTTGGCAGTCGCGAAGACCTGGGTGGGAAGCCCTGACCGAGGCTAGGAAGAGGGTGGAGGGTAGTAGAATGCGTCACAGAATCTGAGGAGAGGAGAATATGTCCGATAGATATAAAAGAAACTGCCATTTGCTCCTGGTAAAAGCCACACTACCAAGTACTTGACTCATATTTTCTTAGGTATCAGTATACTATTGCATATTTTTATCAGCTATAAAATTTTCTCTGTCCGGGCGTGGTGGCTATCACCTGTAATCCCAGCACTTGGAAGGCTGAGGCAGGAGGACTGCTATGAGTTCGAGACCAGCCTGGACTACATAGTGTGAGTTCCAGGTCAGTCTCAGCTACATAGTGAGACCGTCTCAAAAAACAAAAGAAAAAAATTTTTCTCTGCTCCCAATTTTTCTCCCCAGAACTTTTGTGGTATCTTCATTTGTCTCTACTATAGCACTTTTCCCATTCAATATTAAACTATCATAAGTGCTTGTATTCTACCACTGTACTGTATACTTCTCAGAAAATGGCGACAACAATATTCTGTTCATATTACAAATGTGAATATATTTGTACAGCATGCTACGTAAGTCCTTGCCTGACCAGCAGTAGGGGCTGGAGCACATTAACTCAGCTATGTAGATAGTGTTCCTACAGTTGGCCCCCTGTATCTGTGAGTTCATTGGACTCAACCAAAGATTTGAGGAAAGACATGTTTGTACTGAATACGTACAGACTTTTTTGTAATTATTTACTAAACAATATGGCAACTAATTACATAACATTTACATTCTATTTGTTACAACTAAAGCTGATTAAAGTTTAAGGACGACACCCGGGATGTAGCTCAGTGGTGTAGCTTCTACCTGGTAAGTGTGAGGCCCAGAGTTTAATACCCAGTACCAAAGCAAAAAAAAAAAAAAAAAAAAAAATTATAGGAATGATGTGTGATGATGTACATACATAGGAAATTGTAAGGGACTTGAACATCCAAGGATTTAGGTGCCTGTGGGAGATCCTGAAACCAGTCCCATGCATATACTGAGGGATGTCTGTATTTTTTCTAAAGTATGAAAACAAAACAGATAAAATAGAAAAAGTTAATACACTTTACACTCAAGTTTGGAATTCATCTTTAACAAATCATTCTATGTTCATAGTCAGTACAATAGCATTAAATTATTAGAACCAGGGCTCTGCAGGGCAGCCTGCACGGTAGAAAAACCATGGAAGTAAGCAACTAATTAGGAAACTTGATACTGATGCAGACGTATGAGATGCTTAATCTTGTTGGTAATTGTGGAAAGACCTGATTCTTACTGCAGAAAAAGGAACCCTGAGATTTGGTAGCTTCTGGCTGAATGTAATAGAGAGGCATCTGTTAGTTATGTAACTCCAAGGTTGAAACAAGGAAAGCTGTGGTGCTGGGGTGCTGTCTTAGGGAGGGGTGTGAAGGAAAGATGCACGTTTGTTTCTCTTTGACATATTGAAATTGAGGTGCCATCCAAGGGAGACATCTGAGTAAACAAATCTGAAGGGAACGGGACATTCCAGCCTGAAGTGGGGCTTTGAGATCTGAGAGTGGGAGATTTGGCTTCTTTGCATCAGAAACAGAATCTGATGCTAGGAATAAGAATCCTCTGAGGGAGGATGTGGAGCCAGTAAAGCCAAATCAGAAAGACAGGAGATGGAGAGGGCATAGTGTCCTAGAAGCCAGAGGGAGGTATGATTCCTCAAGACAGACATTTCTGCTTGTGTTACTAAAAAAGAAAAGGAAGAAAGTCTCAAAAGCCTTGAGATGGTCTGGCCCATAGTGTCTTTTTTTAACCCCCTTGTTTTTTTATTTTATTGCCAGAAATAAAAAACAGCAACCAGAGATTCTGAGGAAGGGCAAATGAAAGTCAGGAATAGCAGTGTCATGATGTTTGGATTATATATATCATTTTCCTTGTTAGTACACATAGGATTCGAGTAGCTCTGTTACCATACAAGCCCCTAGAGCATTGGCCTCTCCTGGACAATACTTTTGTCCCCTCTTACAAGCACCTTTCCTTTCCATCCTCACTGTTCCAGTCCTCCTCTCTTGAAGCTCAATTTGGACTGGTAGGAACTGCCATCTGTGCATCTCCATCAGACCCCACACTACCCAGCACTGTCCATGCGCAGTGTGAGTGTGGCAGACATTGAGAAAACCTGCTAGATCTTCTTGCAGAAAGAATGCTCAGTCTTGGGTGTTTGGGCCATGTTAGTGTATCCCATACATGCTTTCATTAGGATGCAAGGCAGGCAGCTGCCTCTTCCAACCTGCATATCTAATGATGCCTTTCACCGATTTAACACTTGTTAATGGCTCAGCATTTAAACCCCTTGGCTTAGCAATGGAAACTGAAGACCTTAGAAGAGCTGGCTTGAGCCCTCTGTAGTTCCCCACCGCCATATCCCAGGCACCTCATCACTCTATTTCTATTCTAACACCTTAAAATCCAAGATTTAAGGCACTTGTTCACTCTTTTGCCATGCTCTTTTCCTAGCTAGAATAGCCTTTCCCATACCCCTCCTTTTAGGAAACTTTTGTTCATCCTTCAAACTCAGGAATATTTAGTGTAATTAAAAATGCCTTAGGACCCAGTGGTTATCCTAGTTATATGGGCCTGAAAATTTTTTCAAAACCATCCAATGAGCATTATGAGTAAGGAGAGTCATTGAAATGCTCTCCGTGGTAGAGGAGGGTGGGTTGGCCTTAAAATAGAGTTGAGTGACCTGATGAAGGAATATCGATATTTCCAGCATAGTGCTACTAGTGCAAATTAAAAACATGCATAAAAAACAGCGTGGACTTTTGCAGTGATAACCTAAAGAGGGGAAAGGAAAGGGGTGAGAATAGGGAAATGAAAAAATGAAAGTGTTTTCATGGATTGTAATTTACAATGAATGAGGATTATGATTGTGCCTGAAATTGTTTTCAAGTATCAGTAATTCCAAATAGATCTTTCTAGGGCCCTAGGCTAACTTTACATTTCCAGAGTTCATTTGCACACCTCCTGGGTACCTGAAAGGTGCTGGGGCCTCTCCTGTACTCAGCAGGTAACAGACAACCTCAGAAACAAATGGGGTGGTTTCAGATGAGAGCTGGTGAGGCCCTGCAAATGCAAGTGGGGAAGAAAAGCAGCATAACTTGGGCACTGACATGTCCTCATTTATACCTCCAGGTTGGTCAGGACTAGAACATTTTCTTCCTATACATTAATCATTGATAATGATGCCTACTTACTGAATTTATACTCTTCAAAGCTAATGTTACCTTCAAATCAAGGAGAACACCCACTAGAAATTAAATAGGAGATTTCTTTTTTTATGCCTCATGGTACACTTTCAAGAATATAGGCCATTAAGGAGAGAAGTTCTTTGCCCATGGTGTTTTATTCCTTTTTGGAAAATAATTAGAAAATCAAAATAATATTAGAAAGGTCATTGTGGATATACTATTACAGCATTAGCCTTTAGTCCAAATTTCCCAAAATAGCCACGTTCCCAATTTAGACCAGTATTTGTTCAAGTTCAGAATCTTTCACTGAGTTGATTCACTTTTAATTAGCATGCATTTTAGTGCTTGCAAGGTAATTGCCAGCAAATTCACAGCTTATAGAAAATAACTCTAAGGCTGTTTACTTCTCCTAACAGCTTATTCCCAAAAGGTTACAATGATGCAAATTGATGGTCTCATTTTTATGTAGTTTTGCTGCTCAGTAAATATTTATATTAATGTGCCTCTTTTTTCATTCCATTTTATTTCTTCCGTTGCTTAGTGGTGACTCAAGACTTTCTAGTTCTTATATGGCATAAAAAACACTGACTCTGGACTTAGAAAATCTGGGTGTGAATCCTGCCATCCCCTTTCCCCGTTCTTGTGATAATCTTTTATCTGTCTATGCTGAATTTTTCTTAATTTCAAAATGAAGCAAATCCTTATGTTGCAGTGTTCTGTGAGTCTCATCAAGTCAGTAGTTCTCAACCTTGGCTGAACTTTGGAATCGCCAGGGCAACTTTAAAAACTACCAGTGTCTGGCTTCCACTCCCAAGATGCCATACAGTGCTTGGTCTGCAGCAGGACCTGGGTCCAGGCCTGGTTAAAAACTCTGGGTGTTTCTGTATCTTGTGTAGCCTGTGCCCCATTACCTTCAGTCTGTGCTTCATTACCCAGAAAGACCTGAAGCACAGCGAGGTTCTAGTCCAGGGCCACCTCTACTGCACAAGGCCATTTCTGATTACACTCCTACATTTTCAGACCCTAGCACTCTGAATTCCTGAGTAGTTTGCTCACTCATGAGCTGGCTGTAATCGCTGGAAACACTCATGAGGACAAATGAAAAAAAGCTTCTATCACCGAACCTTTTCTGTGATGAGGACAGTGCACAAGACGCAGAATCCTAATCACCCCCAACCAACTGCTTCAGTCATCTGAGCTTTCTAAAGAGAATTGCAAATGGTTAGGGAGCAAAGTGGAGAGATAATAAGGTTAAGAGTTCTTGATTAAATCAGACAAAACATCTGGAAATCCTTCCTTGGAAACACTATTATTTTAAACAATTAGAGGAAAGCATTATCTCTCATTGTTATTTACTAAAATGCTAGCTAGCATTTAACGCGGGGTAAAATGGAACTGCTGAAAGAGAAAGGAAAATGTTCTTTTTAATAGAATGGCATCCTAGGCAGTGAGGTTCTTTATAAGGCTTTTATGCCACTGGAGTCAGATCTTATTTTTTGCTGAACATTCTGTTGGGGAACATACTAAGTATTTGAGGAAGAGTGAGAAATAGAGGGAACGAAGAAAAGGAGGGGAGAAAGGAACATAAATGGCTTGAAAACAAGAACCCCAGATAGGTAAACTCAGAAATTACAAGAGACTCTGGGTAGATGATTGGAAAAATTGCCTCTGTTGTTATTCATAGCTGTGTGTGCACTTGCACAGTTGATTATCTTTTTTATGAGGAAATTAGAGGTAGGCGAGATTAATTAGTTCCCCCAAAGAAGTAAATATTTCTTCATCCCTGAATCTGAGCTGGCCTTACATCTTGCTTTGTCCAGTGGGACAGAGACAGACGCTATGTGAGTAGGGTATGAGGAAATGTGAAGCCTGGTCTCCTTGTTCCAGGTAAGAAGCCCCAGTCGTCCACCTGTGCTCTAGGAGGCCGTCATGAGCAGAGACTCCGGAGTGAGTCAGTCCGCAGAGGTAAGACCACCCCAAATTGTCAGCACAAAGGAGCTAAGCTAAATAAATCACTGGCTATTTTAAGCCACTGAGTTTGGGAATGGTTGGTTATGCACCCCTAGTCACTATTACAAGTTATCACTTTAACAATAGCTAACTGATCATTATTGTATAAAGAGTAATCACTGAAGGTAAAATTTAACAGTCTTAGTATATGCTAAGTACATACTAACAATTTACCTGAATCTTCTGACCTCATCCTTCAAATCCTCTGAGTAGAAGGATTGTTTTAATATGAGAACACTGAAGCTTGTAGAGATTAAGTCTCAGAAAGTTACACAGGAGCTATAGCTTTGGAGTGTGAATTCAGATCTGTCTGCCCCCAAACCCGAGCTTTTAACTACAGTCTGCAGAGTCAACCGAAGAACAAATTGTGGGCCCAACATGAGGGGCAGACTAAAAGGCAGTTATTGTCTCTTTTCCGATTTGGTCCTAGAAAGGATTGTGATGCCTTCCAGAGAAGAAGCATGTTTTCCATTTGTTTCTAATTCCTTAAAGAATGCCAGTAGGGGTTGTATTGATTCTTCCTTTATAGGCTGGCAGCTGAGTTGCAATCACCATATAATTGTTTGTATTTCTCTCACTTGGGAGAAAGAAATGAGAAATTGTGACCATTGACTATTATTTTCAGATAAATTTTGTTGCTATTGATTCTTATCTTTCTCATAAGAAAATAAATTTTAAAGTACTGTATGTAGTGAGGCATACATTGTTTGAGCCTGTGTGAAATCTTTGTCTGTAAATTGTGCTATCGTGGTCTTCTTTAATGCAGTTTAAAAGGGAGCAGGAGATTGCCAATTATATTTGTCTCAAAGTAATAGGGTTATATTTAGATATTATTACTGTTAATCATATTTACTTTAAACGTTGAATGAGGGTAGGTTGGGAAGTAGTTAAAAACATAGCCAAGACCTATTTCTACAAAGTAAAAAAAAAAAAAAAAAATTGAAAAAAAGGAGTGGTAGACCTGCTTAGAAATGTGGAAGGAAAAAAATCTCACACGCAAATGACTGAAAGCAGCATGGGGAATTCTGGTTCTTGTGAAACACTGTTTTCATTACAGAGTTAGGGTGCAATATTATGAATAGAACTTTGAATGGCATATACAGTAGATCTCATTGTGTCCTAGATTGTTCATCTGCAGTGTTTGGTTTAAAAGCACAAAATTAAGCATAACCCAGAGAAAGGAATTTCCAAATTTTGGGTGAGTGCATGACTCAAACTCTCCTGCTGTACCCAGAAATGTGCTGCAGTGATGCCAGGATGCTGGGTGCATCAGCGAGAAAATCTTTCATATTATGGAGGTATCTCATGAGAGGGGAAGAGAGGCTCACATCTGAAGCTGTAATATGAAAATTCCATTTTTGCTCAATGCTGAAGTGTGTTTTTTCTTTTTCATTTATTTAAATGATTTTGGATGTGCCTGATATTTCATTTCAGCTGAAATGCACCAACTGTTGAAAGAAGGGTGTAAGTCCCTGCATTGTTATGGTTATCACTGTTTACCTTAATCGTGTCTCAGTGCAGGCAGATGCCTCAGTGGTTACTTTCATTCTAGGACCACAGGTGGTGAAATTTTAATTCCATTTTTGTTCTTAATTGTTGCTTAAACTGGTTCAAAAGACCACACCATAGTAAAGCATTAAAACAAAAGTGGTGTGTGTTTGTGTGTGTGTGTGTGTGTGTGTGTGTGTGTGTGTGTAGGTAAGTAGTAAGACTATGGTAAGTAGAAATGCTAATTTCCTCTCAATTGTAAGTCCATTTAAACTACCAGGAATAGACAGTAATTTTGTTAAGTAATTTTCAAAGAAAGTTGGTCTGACTCAATCATGTCACAAACTATCACACCTCATCCAGAGTTCTATCTGTAAATGCTTCCAACTAATTTTGAGAGAACTGATTTTTACTTTCATTGATAAGGAAATCAATTAAGCAAGAAATAAATAGAACCAAACAAAAGACACATTCTCACCCAATGCCATGAATTTAAGCTTAATTTAAGCACTGATAAAATTTGATACTCCTCAACATTTAGCCATCAGATCAAAGTTTTAAGAGATCCTAAGATCAAATTCATGAAAAATAGTATGATTGTACATATATCTGAGTGCTGCATGTGAAAAAAGCCTAAAATTAGATTGTGATATTTAAGAAGAAACCACTCTGTAATTTCATAGATAAATATATATTCTTTTTTGCTTAGTTCTTAAATTATGAGATACATTTATTGGGTGCCTTGTTTCTCCCAAAGACTATGATTAAACCAACAATGTATCTTGAAACTAATAGCATTTTACAATTGAAAATATAGAATACATACAATTACATAGATGACATTTATTAAAATCTAGAACATTCTTGGGCTAAATACAGGAAAAGCAAACTTATCTAGTTGGTTAAATTGGCAGAACTTAGAGCTACTGCTCATTAAGTGCCAATCAAACCAAGATAATCTAGATTTTTAAAATCTGTATCTAAACATATCTTTGATTTGCAGTGATCATAAATTATTTTAAACTAGTTTAAATATAGACACAAAAAGGAAATTGTTATAAAGATAGAAGGAATATGGGCAGGAATGCAGAAAGCTCAAAAGGGTAGAATTAGCCAGGAGTGGTGGCCCGTGCCTGTAATCCCAGGACTCAGGAGGTTTAGGCAGGAGGATTGCCAAGGCCAGCCTGGAATACATAGTGAGTTCAAGGCCAGCCTGAACTATATAATAACAACAACAACAAAAGGATGGAATTACAAATTAGAAATTCTTTCAGATGAGTCATTTTCCATGCAGTTCGTACATCCAAAGATGGTCATATAGCACATATTTTATTAGTTTCTGTATACAAAACACAATCCCAGGTCGAACAGTAACCTGTTGATCCTAGCTCTAAATTCCCAAGAGGACCTGATTGGTAAAGCTGAAGCATCTTGTTCCATTCAACTGTAGAAATAGACATCAGTTATCCCCTTGTTATAGATGTGGAAATGGGGGAACAGGCATGGCAGGACCAGGATTCTAAATTTATTCTATCTGACTACAAAGCCTGTGAATCATTCTGTTAGATAAAGACATGGTTTGGTAGATTCATTGAACACATGGTTTAGGAAACAGGATCCAAACTCAGAAAGTTCAGATTCTCCTTTAGGCCCATTTTTTGGTCTGTTTCTGCTATGGTTTCAGTGTGTCCCCACCAAAATTCATGTTTAAACCTGATCCCTATTGTGACAGTATGGAAGAGGATGGCCTTTAAGAGGTGAAAAGGCCATGAAGGCTCTGACTTTGTGAGATTACTTCCCTTATAGAAGAAGCTTCAGAGAGTTTGCTCCCTGACCTCCCAATCCTCTGCCATGTGGCAACACAACATTCACCACTTTTTGTCCCTTTCGTTCTGTGAGGGTGCAAGAGGCAGGCCTCATCAGACACCCAGGTCTTCTTGGACTCTTCTTGGACTTCTCCAGTGCTCACAACTGCAAGAAATCCAGCATTACTGTTTATATTTAGATGCCCCTCCGCCACCCCTAGCCTCTCTGGTTCTGTGGGCTGTGGGGATGTGACTGGAGCATGAGGACATGATACTCATCAGTGGATTGTTCTGCTGAGTTTATAACTATCTGTGATGTTGAGAGAGGAAGCCTGCTGGGAGGAGGTGGGTCCCTGGGGTTGTGGTCTGGAAGATGCCCCCGCCTTGATATCTTAATGCTTCCTGCCCACCATGCCATGCACAGTTCTTTCACAAGTTGCTCCTCTTCTGTGCCACCTTGACTTGGAGCCAAGGTGCCTTGAACTGAAACCTCTACAAACTGTGGGCCAGAACAAACCTTTCTTCCTCTGATTTGTGGGTGTCATGGTTGGTGTCTCAGCAAGGAGAAAGTATCTAAGATGCCCAGACTGTGGTACTTTGTTACAGCAGCACAAATGGGCTGTGAGAATCTCCTATGTCGAAGATCTATTGTTTACATTATTTTTACAAATAGCAAGTACAAGTTCCTAGCTGGATATACATGAATACAAAAAGCCATTTCATTTTTACAGAGCCCAGTCCCACCTCCATCCAGTTAGTGTTAATAGGAAGTGTGGCCTCTAAAAAGCCTTCTCAGGTTAATGCAGCTTTTCTTTTCAACTGGATCTCGAACTCCAGCATGCTCTTTAACCGTAATTTTTTAAGTATTTCATTTCAAGAAACTCTTTAAGTTTGTGGACATCTTCATCCAGCTGAGAGATCCACAAAGTCCTTGGCAAACTGAAGCCCACTCTAGCTTCACTGTGCATCAGAGGACTGGAGAATGCTGCTGCTCCATGACCTTTCTTTGCCCCCGTTACCAGTTTCCCCCTAATAAACAGTAAAGAAACTGTTGTTTCACCACGAGTTTGTATCAGCGGTGTTTCTTGAAAGAGTCTCGTGCATACATTTAAACATGTCTTCCTCCTGTTTAGAATTGTGATCATACTATTGTGGATCGTCCCTTTGAGACATGCCACTAAGCTTGTGTTCCTGGAAAAATGCCACGAGTCAGTTGCAGGAATTAACTCACTTTTTGAAGAACAAGTCCGTGTCCTGGGGAATCATGGGCATAATGAACAAATGGTTGAGTGAAGTTATTCTGATAAAGTCAGAATTCTGGAAAAGCAAAACATGCTACTGAGAGTTTTACACATCAGATAATGAATTAGTCATTGCTGTCTTAACATCTCTTGGAGCATTCCAGTTAAGCTTAGGAAATGTGGCCCCTCCCCACTCCAGGAATTGATTGTTTCATCGACTTTTGTGAAGAGTCTGGAAATTCTGGTGCATTACACATGGCTCTATTCTCTCTTTATTTTTCCGCAGGACCATAACAAGCCTTTATTATGAGGAGGATCTGCCAGGCTGTCTCCGAACAAAGGATGAAAAGCAACATGGCAGAACAGGTAGCTTTTTTTATAGGAGTGGGGTGGGATTAGTCTGAGCTGGGTGGAGTTGAGGGAGGTGGTATTAAGGTATTGGAGGAGCCTGTTACATCACAAGGAAGGGCTTGTGACATCCCTAGCTGCTAGGAGGTAGCAAGTATCAGGTTGCTCTTTTGGTGGGAAAGGAGGCACAGTGGGAAGAGGAAGCCTGTCCCTTGTTTGGAGAAACCATATTTTAACATGGAGGCTGCTATTCTATGTGGCAGCCATCTTAAGGCAATGGAAATTTAGCATTCCAGGCTTTTTGTTTTGTGGTTATTGGGTGAAGGTCTCTTCTTCTGGACCTGCTTCAAGCTGACAAAGGGGGTGAAGGTTGAGGCTAAACCTGGATCTGGTGGGGGCAGCGGTAGGTGAGGCTTCTTCCCTCTGCCTTAGTGGCCAGTACCCTGACATGATGAGTTCCATGACTGTCTGGTTAGTAAATGCCCTCCTCATGTGTTCCTGTAAGAAATTTTAAAAACAGTGAAGCAGATAGGGCCCTATAATGATTAAAAGGCATATAGAAGATGTGGTTTTTCTATAAAATGGAATATTACTCAGCCATAAAGAATGAGAAAATAGGTTCATTCATAGGAAAATGGATACATATTGAGGATATACTCCTAAGTGAAATAAATAAGTCACACATGTGTAAATACTGAATAGTTTCTCTGGTGTGAATAATCTGCAATAATACATAAGATCCTAATAAGATTACTGACATTTAGAAATGGGAAGAAAGGAGCTAAAGGTGTAGGGAAGGTGGGATGGGTAGGGGAACGGTAATAAGGGAAAAGAAAAAAATGTGAGATAATGAAAAGATGGAAATAAAGTGTTTGTAGATGGGGAAGGGAGGAGGGGGTGAAGGGAGGGCAGGTGTAAGGGGAAAAAATGAGAACCAAGACTTGTCATGTAGAGGTACAAGATTCCAACAATGAATGTAACTGTACCGTATCCCTAAAATGTACCAATAAACTCAATTAAAGCTGAAAAAAAAAAAAGGCATATACAAGTCAGTGAGCCCAATGAGGGAAGTAACCAAGGCATAATTTGGGGAAGCCAGGAATGGTACTGGTTTGTTTCTCAAGAATTCCATCGTGTTTTGTGCTCTTTGATGTATTGGTGAAATTCTTTAACCTTTGCTTTAACTGTCCCTGAATAGTTAACAAAATTAACAGCATTCTTGACCCAGCACCTGGCATGTCCCCCCTTGGCCACTGTCAGCATGTCAAGGGCCCTTCTATTTTATAACACAACTGCTGCTAGAGAATTTATTTGATCTTGTACTATATTTAAGGACTCACTTATTTTATCCATGTCTTCCAAAATCTCTGTGGATAGGGCCTGATAGAAATGTGTGGATGGAGAAATGCCTACTATCCATATTGCCATCTCAGTGAGGACCCCTGCTTCCATTAAGAAGGGGACTAGAAGGGGAGCTGCCTTTTTTCTGATTGTGTTCTGTGGGAAAACTTGTGTAGACATCTGGGCTTCTGTATAAATGGTCATGGGAGGGCAAGGAAGGATATGTAACAGAAAACATCAGACTGGTTGAGGCATCGGAACATCTCTTGGTTACATATGAAGTACAGACCATTGGACAGGCAGATTGGATGCCCTTCTGAGATAAAGAGGGAGCAAGCAAGGCAAGTGATGTTATTTTGCCTCATGCATGTCAGGTTAGTGGTTTGTGTAGGGAATGGGAGACCCATAGTGAAGGGTGCCAGACCTGTGCATAAATTGCCAGTGTTTGAGACAGATAGGTTAAAATCTAGGGGACCGGAATTGGGGTGAGTGGAGGTAAACAGACCTTCACAACCAATAGTCTGAGATACTGACAGGGAGATAGTGGAAAGTGGTATTAAATAGGTGTTGTAGCCTTTTTTGAGACTGGGTTATCTGGTTTATCACTTGGAAATCTATCCCTTTATAGGGAGGTGGAGTGGTGCGCCTCAAAAGTTTCTCTATCTCTAGTGCTTGTTCAATGATTACCTCTTTTGGTATGCTTTTCTGTTGGGTGTTTAATACCAAGTTAAAGTGAGACCTGTGTTAATCAATATGAACATTTTGCTATCTGTCAAGGTCAGTTGAGTCTCTTTAGGCATTATTTTGGAAACATGCATAGAGCCTCTTAGCTCATTAGTGTCGGCTGTCAGGATGGGTCATGGGCCTTGCTTGATCAAGTTGCTTTCAGTGAAAGCATGGTAGATTTTTTTTCTTGGTGACCCTCTTTTGGCACATGTTACATTTGTCCTCTGTTGACCAGTAATCTCCCTGCTCTGGAGATTGGGTAACTTACCAAAGATGTAAGATGTTATAGAAAAGGTTCCTTCATACCTTGGATCTTTGATGACCTTAGAGAGCCAGGGCCAAATTATTGGCAGTCTTCTTAGCCCAGTTACCTTTTAGTGTGGTCTCTTCACTTTCATGGTTGAACACTTAGAAGAGAAGATCAGTGACACCGGTAGTACCTTAGCAGCAAGCTTTAACTATCATAAATTTATCTAGATAGCAAGCACCCTGGAATCAAAAATATAGTTAAAGGGCTGGGAATTTAGCTCAGTGGTTCCAGTGCCTGTCTCAAAAGCACAAAGACCTGAGTTCGATCCCCAGTACCAAAAAGAAAGAAAATATAGTTAGAGGACTGTTATTTTAATCAATCATGGTTGTTCTAATTGTTGATTTCCTGTAGAATATTAACAGAAAAAAACTTTGAATCAGGAGCCACACATAATAATATTTAAGCATAACAATCATGATGACATTATCTTTGCAACAAACTTAGATATGTATCTTAGTATAAAATAGCCATTATTAAATGTATTTGTTCCCCTCTAAAAACACATAAAATCAAAAAACCAGAAAGTTTTACTGAAGTTATTAACCTCTTGATAGGATGTCATCTAAGGAATGTGTGGGCATACAAATATACCTGTAATCATAAGTAGGAGGAGCAGAAGGGAAGGGTGAATACCGGGATCAAAAGGTTATTGTCATAAACAATATGTTGGAAGACGTTCATAGTCAGAAAACATGAATATATTTTGTACACCAGAAAAGTAGTAATAATAATTATTATAATTATATGAACCTTATGTTGTATAGTGTAGCCTGGTACCAAAAGGATCTTTTTTAAATAACTCTTTGTTTTTCCAATGAAAATACTGTATTTTGAAGATGACCATTGTAAATGTATCACAATAACATATTTAGAATTCAACCCTTTGATGATAAGAATGTAAACATTTTATAACAACATTATTTAGTGAGGCATATCTTTCCAAAAGGCTATGAAAATTATTGAGGCTCCCATTAGTGAACAAAGACTAGAATAAATTTTTCTGAGCAGCTGCTTCTTTATTCACCAGTAGAAGTCTATGCAAACTTAAAAGTTGATACTTAATTATCTTGACAATTTTTTATTTCACCTGTAAAACCAGGTTATAGAAATTAGAAATTTATTTGTATCTTTGATGTCATTTTGATCAAAAAAATATAATTGGACAAACACTTTTAAACAATAGGATAGACACAGACACACATATAAGTCAATTTATGAAACTAGAGTGCACTCAAATGTATTTGGCCCATTGAATTGTAACATCTCTTAATTAAGACAAGTCAAAACTTTTTTATTTTAACAGAGACTTCTTATAGAAATAGAATCAGAAGGACTGCAAATGTAAACAAACTTTTATAACAAACTTGAGACCAACAAGCAAACATATATATTTCTAAGATAAATCTCTTCTGCTCATCTTCTCTACATACCTAGTCCTCCTGGTCTTGTGTGTTTCTTTAGTCTTCTAACAAGACAAACATAACAAAATCTTTTTATATTAAAAGTATATTTCCTTTATTTGTAGCCTTTAAAATATATGTATATTTTTCCATCTGATTTACTATAAACCTTTCATAACAAACTTGGCTTTAGTTGTTAAAATTTTAAAGAGTTCCCTTTTTTATTTCCTCAGTGTTCAACAAAGTACAGAAAGAGCAAATTAATGCTATAATTAAAATGCAAGAATTTTTAATGTACAAGAAATGTTTTAAGCGTACTAATTAAACATTACTTTATATTGGAGATGAAAGGTACATTTGTTAATTAGCCAGAGGAGGGAATGATAATAAAGTTCCTCCCTTGAGGTGGGTGTAGGGTGAAGAACAGAGATTATTTATGGTGTCCAGTGACATCTGAGATACAAGAATAGCCAGTTATGTACTGTAGCCCTGAAGTTTTATCTCTGCCTTAAATGAAATGTAGAAAAATGTGTAACCTTGAGAAACAAAGACCCATTTATTTTGTAAGTGAAAAAAACAAACAAACTTGTACTATTTTAGAAACAAATTAACTCCCAGTTGGCTTGCAGATACAGAAGGAAGACAACAACCCATTGAAAGCTAAAGTACTTTTTGTACAAATAAGCAAACTTGAATACCAAAGCTAGAGAAAACTCACACACCCATTTTACAATAATTTTAAGCAATTAAGTCCAAACAGTAACATATACAAGAGAAGAATAAAATGGCCTTTTACCAAGAGGGTCCTCACAATCAGAATGACCTTTTATAAAGTGGTCTGCTGGATCAAAAGTCACTTCAGGGCCAGTGATTTAGCTCAGTGGTTCTACCACTTGCTTTGCAAGAGCAAGGTCCCGAGTTTGATCCCAGGTACAAAAAATAAAAAAAAGTCACTTCTGTGTCTGGGCTGAGGTTGGGATGGGGGAGGGAGTCATTTGGGCAAGAATGGGTGGGGAGAACAGGAGGTCTTGACAATGGAGTTAGGGCTAGAAGTACCTGACAGGGCCAACAGGTTTGACTGAGGGAAGGGCGAGAAAGAAAACTTATAGGTAGGCGATTTGTGACCATCTGCCACTGTGTTGACAAAAATTGCATAAATTACTCAGTACATTAAAACTGAAAGTGCCATTTTTGGGCC